GTTTATCTAGGTATCTGAAATGAAAGGAAGAATTTACATGGTTAAGGGACCCGGTGTGGTATTTCTGAAGGTGTCACGTGGGTCTTTAGATACCCATGGGCCTGGTGGAGAAAGGCTGGCCGTGGGAAACCCAGAACACAATGGAGGTGAGGGAGGAACTCGAGCTGAAGGTGAAGCAGCACTTTGCTCCCACGAAACACCTGGCCAGTCAGCCCAGACAGAGATGGCAGCTGTGATGTGTGCACATGGCAGGAAAGAGCCACACGTTCCCAAAGCCCCTGGCATCTTGTAGGTAGCCCTGCTGCCAAGAGATCTTCATGGGGGAAGGTGGCTCTGTTCCTCTCACAAGGGACACTGAACTGGACCAGGGCAGTGGGGAATTGGGCTTGTGTTCAGGTTGTGCATCTCACCGGCTGAGTCACCTTGAACCAATCAGCCGTCCACCGACCACCTACCTAGTACCACTGAAATGCACAAGTTGAGGGCCTACCAGAGCCCACTGTATGCAAGAGGTTAGCAAAACATCACATTCTACCTATTTCCACCCTAAGCAACTCTGCACTGATTTCATATTTGTAATTTGTAAGGACGTTTTATAAGACAATCAGAAAATAAATTAGAAAAAAAATGTGTTTAGGGGAGAATTAAAGTCTCAGAAGTGCATCTTTGCCCATATCCCTTCAGAACACACAGCACACTCACAGCTACGAAAACAACATCTCCTTTCGACTCCTCAGAGACCAAGCCCCACAGAACAGGTCTCAACATGCTTTCTCTCGGCGACACGTGCACGGACCGCCCGCCGAAGCCCACTGTGCCACCAGGAGCCCAACAGACAGACACAGCTCCTGGCAAGCTCCTGTCCAGCCAAGTGGCTGGCAATGTCATCTCTGGTGCTTATTCGAAGGCCACGTTCTGATTGAGTTTTACTTTGTTCCTTCGGGTCTCAGTTTCACCTCTTTGTAGAACCCAATTGTGATAGATAGCAAATGCACGTTCTTGAGCTCAGAGATAACTGCATGTTAATAGTTGGATATATGGTCTCAAAAGCACTGTTTAAGAAATTCTCGTCCAGGATTATTCACTGGTCACATTGAGGTTTTTTAAGTCAAGTAAAATTTGCCAGGAAATTCGTATCTCAGACTGTCCCACCCAAAGACCCTGACTCAAAGTGCACACACTGGATTAGAGAAACCAAAGCTGTAAGCAGGACTTCCTCGGTGACAAAATCCCCGCCATTGCTGAAGTTCTTACTTCATGCTTTATTGTTCATATTGTGTTCATTGGTATTACGCTGTTACCCTTTGCTGTTATGAGTAAAGAAGAAAAGAATCTTTCTTGCTAAATATATTGCAGGGTTACCTTATAATTTGATGACAAATAATTGATGCTTTCTTGGAGAAAACAAAACTAAAAATTAGCATAATCAGCAATTAATTTACCACAAAATAATTCAAGGAGGCCTCCCTTGACCTGTTCTGTATGTTCCTGGCTCTTTTACAAGAATACATCTTTGCATATTTATAGAATGAAAGAAAATGACAAATTAATAACATGACAATTCTCATAAAGATGGGGAATACAACCTAGCAGGCAGCTAAAACTAGAAGCAGATTTGAGGCAATTATTATTACTATGTTACTAGGTAGTAAATCAAAACGTTCTGGTATATTTGTAACCAATATATTTACTTTTAAAAAATAGGAAGAAAAGTAAAAGTT